ACTTATCTCCTTCAGGAGACTGACAGATAATTCCTGCACCACAGCCGTTCACAGTGGAGCTCCCATCCACATACACTTTCCAAACCTGGTCTGTATTGTCCGGAACAACCGGCCTTGTCATTTCGACAATAAAGTCCGCGAATGCTTGTCCCTTTATTGCCTTCCTTGGTTCGTAAATGATTTCTAGTCCTTGCATTTCAATCGCCCATTTGAGCATTCGTCCAGAAGACTCCAAGGTTGTGAGTGGCCGCTTGATCGGCTGGTCAGTATGGACCACTACCGCATGTGCCAAGAAGTAGGGTTTCAATTTCTTGATGGCCATGTAAAGGGCGAGGCCAAAATTTTCAACAATGGGGTACCGAAGCTCAGCGTTCCTGAGAACATGGCTGATGAAATAGACCAGGAGCTGAGTGCCGTCTCTTTCAGCTAGGAGAACAGCGTTGAGGGCATGATCGGAGACGGCCAAGTACATGAAGAGCGTCTCTTTGGGCAGAGGGCTAACAAGCCTCGGCAAAGAGTGCAAATGAGTCTTTAACTTTTGAAAGGCCGCCTCTGCGTCATCCCCCCATTCAAAGTTTGTCTTCTTTTTTATTGCCTGGAAAAAGTAGAGGCACTTGTCGCCTGACCGACTGAGGAATCTCCCCAGGGCCGCCAGACAACCTGTTAGTTTTTGCACTTCCTTCACAGTACGGGGCGACTGCATGTCGATTACCGCCTGTATTTTCTCAGGGTTGGCCTCTATTCCCCTTTGGTTAATCAAAAATCCGAGAAACTTCCCAGACTCAACAACAAAGACACACTTTTTTGGGTTAAGCATGACCTTGTGCCGCCTGAGTGTGGCGAATGTTTCTCAGAGGTCAGCAAGGTGATCCGCCTGTTGTTTGGATTTTACTATCATGTCATCGATGTACGCCTCTACATTCCTTCCGATTTGATTAATGAAGACTGTATTAATCATTTGTTGGAAGGTAGCAGGCGCATTCTTCAAACCAAACGGCATCACCGTATAACAGAACAACCCCTGATCAGTGACGAATGCCGTCTTTTCTTGATCTTTTTTCCACAGGGGGATCTGGTGGAAACCTGAATAGGCGTCCATGAAGCTCATCAGGGCATGTCCGACTGTTGAGTCGACCAGACTGTCGATCTTAGGCAATGGATAGCTATCCTTTGGACATGCCTTGTTGAGGTCTGTGTAGTCAACACACATCCGCCAAGTTCCATTCGGCTTTTTTACTAACACAACGTTAGCCACCCACTCAAGGAAATTGCACGGCCAAATGAACTTGGCATCTAACAGCTTTTTTACTTCGGCAGCTGCCGCCTGACTTCTTTCTTCGCCGTGGTTTCTTTTCTTTTGTTGGATGGGCTTCTTTTTAGGATCCTCGGCGAGTTTGTGGACAGCGAGATCCGGGCTGATGCCTGGCATCTCCTCCACTTCAAAGGCAAAGATGTCTTTGAATTCCCTCAGGAGCTGGTGAAGGCTTTCACCCAGCTTTGCAAAAGCAATCGTCCCCACCTTAACAGTCCGCTCTGAACGGCTGTCGTCCAGAGGGATATCAATGTGTTCACCAGCAGGCTGGGGACGAAGATCATCCGACCGTTCCCCGGTCAGTGATTGCTATTGCTTCTCTTTTTTTACCACCACCAGCTGATCAGTCTTTCCTTTCTTTCCGGCTGGTGGGGCCGACTGATCTTCCTCGACATCGTCGAGGTTGATTGTTTGCTTGCCCTGACCGGATGCTACGGCCGCGGGCTTGACGTCCGAGAGGTAACACTCTCGAGCCGTCTTTTGGTCCCCATTAAGGGAACCGAATGTTCCATCATCCTTCTCATACTTGAGTAGCATGAGAGCAGGGATGATGACGGCCTTACACTCATTAAGAGTGGGACGGCCAAAGATGAGGTTGTAAGCCGTGAGCTCCTCAACCACTAGGAAACGGATGGTCATGTGCCGACCGTCTCCCCTACTTCCCAGGCGGACAGGTAGGTCAATTCGTCCGACTGGGTGCACAAGTCCTCCCCCAAACCCAACTAGGGTGTGGGTGACCTCCATCATGCTATCCGGTTTGTACTTGAGATTGGATAAGCATTTGAGGCTGATGAGGTCAGAGGAGCTTCCTGTGTCAATCAGAATTCGTCCCACCAGCTGGTTGGCGACCTTGCACTCAATGACAACAAGGTCGTCATGCGGCCGATGGACTTTGCCTCTGTCCTGCTCGGTGATGACAACTTTAGGGAAGGTGGATACGCTTGATGCATCCCCCTCCTCAACAGAATTAACCATCTTTCTCAGATGGTCCTTGGTACCCCGAATGGTCGGGCCACCACTGGCAAATCCGCCTGATATGGTGTACACCGGCTCTTCATCAGTTTCAGCACTCACAGTAGGCTGGGGAGTCTTTTTCTTGGACTGCCCTGGATTTGCTTTTGAAGTCACTTTGGACTTCACATAGGACTTCAGCTGTCCTTTGTCGGCCAGATGGTCGAGCTCCCGCTTGAGACTAAAGCAGTCGTTCGTGTCATGGCCAACATCCTCATGGAAATGGCAATGCTTGTTCTTGTTCCGATTTTCAGCAGAACCTTTCATAGGAGTCGGCTTTTCAAGAGTTAGCCGATCCTTAATTTCCAAGAGGATGGAGCAGCAGTCCTTGTGGAATTCGTACCTTGGGACGTACGGTTTCCACTCCTTTTTCTTCTTCTAGGCCGGTTGATCAGAGTTATCAATGGCCCAGACTTGCTTTTTCTTTTTGCTCTCTTCTGGCTTAAGAGCCGGCTGAGCAGGCCGACTCTCTTTCTGCCGGTCGGACTTCTTATGGTCCGACTGCTTATTCGAGGAGCAGAGTTCGGTCGCTTGTACATAGGCTTCCACCTCTCGCAAGGCTCCTTGCAGAGTAAAGATTTGTTTGCGGACGAGTTCGTACTTAAAAGTAGACCCGTCCTTCAGACCCTTGAAGAAGTCTGTGAAGGCGACCTCATCAGACAGCCCATGAATCTGGATTCGGACCAGATTAAACCGCCTGACGTAGGAACGCAAACCTTCTCTATCTCCCTGCTGTACATTGCCCAAGTCAAGATTTGTCTTTTTGGCAGGGATGTTCATAGAGAAGTTTGATGCAAGCAATAACGCAAGCGTCTTGAAGTTATTTATGCATCCAGCCGGCAGGTTGCCAAACCACTGCTGGGCTATGCCCTTCAGGGTGGCTGGAAAGTAACGACACCATGCGGCATCATCCAACCCCTGTAAATACATGAGGTGGGTGTATGCTAGCAGGTGGTCTTCTGGTTGGAGGTCCCGTCATAGGCTCCAACCAGAACGTTTTTAACTTTAGCCAGCTGTACGGCTTCAGTTATTTCCCTGGAGAAAGCAGAGGGTTGATCTCCAAGGTGTTGCAGCCTAAGCTGCCAGTCCATCGGCTGATAGCCGTATGCCGCCTGTCTTCCATAGAGGGTAGGTTGCATGTAAGGTACAACTGGCGCCTGGTACAATGGTTGTGCCATGTACTGGGCAGACTGAATCACATGCGGCCCAGACTGAACCCTTTGGCTGCTTGCTGGGGTCTCATGTACAGACTGTGAACACCGCACAGAGGTATTTCGAAAGTTGTCATGATAAGTCAACGTTGAAGCCGACTCTGATTGCTGGGTTCTCCTCTCCTCAATGTATTGCCGAGCGTCAGAGAACGTTTTCTTGCTACCATCCGGCTGTATGTGCCGGATGGGTTTTCTTGCGCCCGTTTCTGGGAAACAGAGCCGATTAAGGTCAAATTGGGGCCTGGCCTTCTCCTTAGGAGCAGGATGAGGGAGTCGGCTGACGATCCCTGACCGACTTCTATTTGCCAGCCTGGGCTGGCTTCTTGGCCGACTGCTCCTTTCTAGGAGTAGGCAACTTCTTCGAGGCGAGCTGCTTGATTTCACCCCTGAGGCTGCTCAGGAGTGACATTAGCTCATCCCGAGTGACGGGAGTTGATCCTGCTGCCTGGGAAGGATCAACCGGCCGCCCCGAGGGCTTCTTTGGCTGACCAGCAGTTTTGCTTGGCCCTGCCTGGTCATGGTGGCGCTCCCGCCTCTCCTTACTGCGGATGCGCTTAGAAATGAGGGATCCATTTGAATCCACATAGGTTTCGATGTCAGCGTCGTCCCCTGAGTCATGGTCCGTTTGGACCAGTATATCATCTGGAGGCCGAATGGCCTCTGAATTTGGTACAGGTACTTGTGAAGCCATTTCAGAGGTACTCTCCCCACGGACGGCGCCAAATGTTTCGGGGGTTTTTGTCCCTTGGGAGAGTTACAACTCTGAAACTGGATTCAACTGAGGATGCCTGTACCTGCAAAGCAAACGGACCGCCGGATGGTCGGGGGTTCGCCTCCGAAGATTAAGTTAGTAAATGTTCGGTAATAAAACGTGCGGAAACAAAGTTATCTGCTCGGATTCCAAGCTCAGGTGATAAGTGACGTATTGTCTCGTATTGCGTGTAAAATTCTCTCTCTGTTTCTGTGTCTGTCATAAATGCCATAATTTCCCTATTTATAGGGTCCTTTTCAAAAGTGTGCCCCTCCTAGGACATGGTGATCTAGGAATTAGGTCACACCGTTTTGCGGCGCCTCGGGATTTAGGCCTTAGAGGGCCGCCATCCCAGGGCCAATGCCAGAGTGACACGTGTCACTCTGCCCAAAAGAATTCTAAAGCACCTTTTTGGATGACACGTGTCGTCACCTGAGTGGTCCCTCCACGTGTCATCTTTGCATAGGTCCAAATGGCACCTATATGGAGGACACGTCGCACTTTCTGATTGGGCCACCTGGCCGGGCATAAAATACCCAAATCAGTCATTATATATAAAAATGAAGCAACTTTATCAATTTTAATGACATTTACACAAAGGTCACTATATATAAAATTTAGGTAACTATATTCATTAAGGTCACTATCTACAAAAATAAGATAATTATATCAAATTTTTTTATCACATTTACTTTAAGGTCACTATGTACAAAAATAAGGTAATTATATCAATTTTGACCATAGATTTCACTGTTATACAAAAGTAGGGTAGGTATATCAATTTTGACCACATTTACATAAAGGTCCCTATATACAAAAACAAGATAACTACTACCTCCGTTACATATTATTTGCAATTGTCTAATCGTTGCAAATAATATGTAACGAAGGCTTATATCGGTAGAACACTATCACAAAACTACAAACTGGTAGTACATACTAACCCTCCTAATTAGATGATAAATCTTTTCTAGTGGAATGCTATTATCAGAAGGTGCAAAGGAGCTATAGCCTCTGTCACAACAGAGGACCACTTAGAAACTTGCAAAAAATCATGTAACTCAATAGATAGGAGGCGTGATTAGAGGTGTCAATTCGGATAATCGGATGGAGTTTGGATCGGGTCTATTCGGTTCGGGTCTGTTCGGATCGGATATGTTCGAATCAAAATTATCCTTTTAACTCGGATAGGGTCAAATTCAGGTCGGGTCATGGTCTATCGAGTCTGGGTCGGATACAGGTCGGGTCAATTTCAAATCGATTCACTTTCGGTGCGGATATATTTGGTTCGGGTTTAAAATGGGTTTAGCCGGGTAACTTCGGGTCGGATGAATTTGGGTCGGGTTGATTTCGGTTCGGATGATTTCGGTTCGGTCAATTTTGGTTTGGTCAATTTCGGTTCAATTCCTTTTTGTGTTTGGCTGGATTTTGCCCCAGCAGGGGGGGGACCTTCATTCACTAAAGTACTCACATTCTGAGTAACATTATGATGAGTCTGCAGCACTGTTTGAGGAGTCTTATCAACACTAGCCACTTGAAGGTCGACAAAAATGTCTTCAAGCCCGACCACAGACAAATTCGAGTTCCCAACACCACAGCTGATTGTTGGACTAACTTCATTACTACCTTCATTACTAAATTCATCACCACAAACATTGTTCACAGATGGAGATGATGCAAAACCCGAGGTTACTTTCTCCTGTTCTTGGTCCTTTTCTGCCTTTTCTATAGCAGCATCCAAGCAACTCTCAAGCTTTGAGATAGCATCAAATGCCATTCTAACAAATTTCGGTCTAGTGGCTACCTTCAAGCATACACTGTCAAAGCGGGTTAATATTTTATCATACCGCTTCACCTCTTCCGTTTTGGTAGGGTCATGGTATGCCACCTTCACACGAGTATGGCGCCTATGCACATCTTTTCGCCAACGCCTAACTAAGTACTTAGATGGCACTTCAGTAACATTATTTACATCATACACCTTGAACTGATGCCTACACATGATCCCGTGACACTCAAAAAGCTTGCACTCACATGATGCTTCAGTAGTTTCTGAGTTAAACATGACAGTGTACACTCTCTTCTTCGAGGTTGGAAGTTCCTTTTTCAACTCTTTCACAAATTTCCACACTCTATCTTCAACAACATGCTCCACTACTTTTCTTTACCACACTCACATACATAAGCCTTGTAACCTGCTCATGTACCTCTTCGAATTTAGCATCAGTGTACACCTTCTGAAACGCTTTCTCATATGCAAAGGCGGTTATAAGCTGCCTCACTCTTATGGCACTAATTGCATCCGCTTCTTTCTCTGCATTTACCCTATTTTCCATGGCATCACAATATCTCTCTGCAAACTCGAACAAACGAGTAAAAAAAATAATGAAGCACATTTACAAAAGAACTAACCTGCCAGCCAATAGTCCTTTCAAAGACCATACGACTCAATTGCTACGGTCCAATTTACCTTAAACTCCTCTTAACTTAAGCTATAATAGATAACATTCTGAAGCACATCACTAACCTCCTCATACTTAGAATAGCTGCCCAGCTTCGTCCCAAATTTATTCAGAATATGCCATAAACACCACCGCTGCTTGGCACTTGGCATAACAATACTCAAAGCCTTCGTCATTGCAGCACACTGATCGGTTAAAATACCACCAGGAACCTGACCACCCATGCAATCAAGCCAGTTACTAAAAAGCCAAACAAGCGTATATGTGTCCTTATGAATACAAGGGCACAGCCTAACAATAAAGTCTGGCCATGATGATTTGCACCAACAAAATTCAAAAAGGGCATCTGATATTCGTTAGTAACGTATGTTGAGTTGAAACAAACAACATCCCCAAACTCTGCATACGCTACCCTACTCCTTGCATTCACCTACATCACATCTGATAACCTTCCCTCATCGTTTAATATGTACTTATGGAAGAAATTTTGATTATCAGAGCTCATCTTATCAAAATAAACAAGCATCGCATTTGCATCACCCCCACTCATTTTCAACTTCTTCTCCCGAGCAAATACATTACGTAAATCCCTCTCTGGCAGGGCCATATTCTCCACTCCACCCTGCTCCTTTGCAAAACTACAATGCACCTGTGTTACCTGGCTACCGGCATTACAGTCATTAAATAACTTCCTCCTCACAGCTGTAGTTATTTCATCTTGTCAATACATTAATATATCGAGACTTTCGTGGAGTCGGATTATGATATTGATGTTCTACAACAGCCTTCCTAACTACCCAAGAACCATCGTCTCTACAAGCTTCCCTCATCTCCACTGGACACCCACATTTCTTCATCTTCCTTCAGTTTAATTCTAAAGACAATCCACCACCATAAACCCTCTTCCCATTTACACGGCACCGCATATCTGGCTTCCCTGCACATTCACACCTCCATATGTAACTCCGCCTCTTACTCTTGTCAGTTTTCCCATCATGGGTTTTCTAATTCCTAGATGCCTAGAAAACACCAAATCCCCGCTGCTTCCCATGCTTCCTGGAGAATTTGTCAGCTTCCTCCCAAGAACTGAAAACCATACCTGCTTCTGGATGGTCCAGTACATCCTCATACTGACCATCATCAGTCTCCATAACACAGCGTAGAGGAGTCGATGTGGTGTCCCCAATACAATTCACTACATCACGGACTGGAGTACTAAGCAAACCATCCTGAAATTAAGTAAAGAGAAGCAAAGAGCTAAGCCTTAACTACCAAACTATCAAACTGATATTAACCAACAATCAAAACAACATTAACAAAGAATTTAGAAACAACATCGCAACCACAAACTAAAATATAGTGTATAATAGAGTTGTATAAATCACTTATTAATCACGCAAATATAGTCTCTTCATAACTAATACATTATATTCTACTCTTGCTATCAGATTAGGTCTTCAATTAGGGTATATAATTATGCAAAGACTCTAAACGGTGTCTAAAATAATAAATAAATCATTTTTGAAGTATATCTTCTCTGGAATCCAAGTTTAAGCAACAAAGAGGGAACATCTTCACAACCACAACCTTCAAAAATTACCAAACCAAAAATCAAAACAGCTGCAACAAACATTACAAATTAGGCTTAACTAACCAAATTTTCAACCTAAATCCAACAATTACAACCAATACACCTCAGATAACGTCACATCTACATATCAATACAAGAATGCTTTTCACTTTTTTTTTTTCAATACAACAAATCCAACAATAATATATCAAATCCGTCACCTTAATTTAATGAATAATAACCTCAATTAATTCAGTTTCAACCGCTTCCAACTCAATTATTTCAGTACCCTTCTCTTCGGTTTCAGCCACATCAACACCTGGATCTGATAACTCCATCAACAGCTAGAGAACAACACAATAAAACTTTATCTTAAACCCCCAAATAACTAATTAAAAAAACTAAATTACAGGCTCTACACTTCAAACATTACCTTATTCGCAGTAAGATAATACTCTTGGAGCAATGGGAGTTAAGGGCAAGGAAAATGGAAGGAAAATAATGGCTATGGAGGGAAAAACTTCAACACCCATGAGTTAGAGGAACACCGCCGATGGGAAGAATTTGGCAGGGATTGTTGATGAATGGTGTAAACCAAGGAGTAAAACAAGCTTCTATTTTTTTTACCCTACACTTTTGCATTTTACCTTCCCATTTTAGTTTATCTTTAAAAAAATAAAAATTATTATTATTATTATTATTATTATTATTGGACAGAGGATGTCCATACCAGGTAGCGGCCCATACTTCCCTCCATGTCGCCACACGGGGGGACACGGGGACGTAAAAAGGCCTCCAATAGATAGTGCTCCAGTTAATTTAAAATTAAGACTCCTAAGCTACTGTTTCACCCATATGCATGGGTGACGGGCTGACGGCTATCATGCACGATTACATTCATATACCATCTAGAAAAACAAAATTATCACTCAAGAAAGAAGTCAACGATTAAGTTAGTACCTGAAATTCAATCAAATGCTCCTAGTAAGCTCATATCATTTCAATTTTATTAACAATTATAGCTCTAACAATCATATATTATGCATAAAATACGAAAAAAACGTAAGAAAATAAGAGATACATGCTCAATATCCTTTTTCACAAGATATTTCATCTAAGTAAGATCTGTAGTCTTTATCTTTTAAAAATACAACATCAATTCAGATATTTTTTCCGTAAATGATCAAACACATAAACTCCAAAAGAAATTCAACACAAACTCTAACTCAACAACTCGTCCTTTCTCAACCTAGGAATTTCCTCAAATAAAATTTCACTTCAAAAATCGATGAATGAACAAAAATCACACTAAGGATCTCCAACGCGAAGAACTTTAGAGTAAGAGAAATTGATTGACAACTAGTAAAATCAATTAAACATGCAAATTAACCTAGCCAAAATCGAAAATTGACAAAATCAACAAAGTTGTAGACTAGATAAACTCACAAACACAATGAAAATCTTATAATTACTGAATTTTAGCAAATATTTGATAAGCAAAAAAAATGAGGGAATAAGTAAATTAAAAAATTAGTTAAAAAAACTCAAATGTTAGAGAAATTAGAAGTATGAGTTGTTGAGATGTTGCAATTTATAGCTTTTCCCTTTCGACGAAATCGAATTTAGTAGTGATTGAAGTTGAGATTTGGTACGTCACCATTGATTTCTGAACGAGAGAAACCCCAAAATTTTGAAGAGAGAGAATGAAAAAGTTGACCAGGAGAGAGAGAAACACTCATGAGAGATGTGAGGTTAAATTCACTTGAATCGTAACCGTTCGATTTTACGAAGGTAAGCTTAAAACTCAACGTGTATTTTTAAACCGTAAGATCTTGGAATGGACGGTGTGGATGAGCAGTTTTCAGTTTTCATCATAAGAATGGTTTTCACATGATCCATTCCCTATATATATATACTAGTTTTGTGCCCCGTGTGATGTTCGAGTTATTTATTAAATTTTAAAATAAAAATATGTAATTGATACAAAATTTGTAAGGAATTGATGTGACTTTATGATGATTTGCTATCTAGTAGGCATGTAATGACTAATAATAATGCTGGTGGAAATATTTAATTTAATACATTAAAAAAAATTAGCAAAATAAATTAAATATATTAAATGTTTAAAACCCGTTGGGTTGACCCGAACCCAAAACTTTGGGCAAGGGTTGAACATTTCTTGACTTGTTACCTAAAGTGATCATATCCGAGTTGACTCATGACCCGACTCTGACTGGTCTCCATAATAATAAAATTCTATTAGATTGTGAAGTATATTTTTTTAATCAATTGGTATATATTATCAATGGATGTCTTACGCTTTGAACTACTTCTTTCACTCCAAGTAATATTATAATGTAAAAAATAAATTTATGTGATAATTTTTGAGAATTATAATCTAATAATTTTTTTGAATAAAATTATAATTAAATTTGTACCTTTGAAATATTGGTATTTTATCGAAAATAAAACTATAAACCAACAATTTTATCCTAAAATCTTATCCGAATAGAATTCTAAACTAACATTTTTTTATCTTATTAAGTCTATTTAAATCTATCCAATGTGTCGCGACACTTGACGAAAAGGTTGATCGCCAAGTGTCGCTGCCTCGTGACATGGCTAAAAGTTTAGCTATATATATATATATGTGTGTGTGTGTGTGTGTGTGTGTGTGTGTCGGGGGGGGGGGGGTTACAATATAGGTAATTACATATGGGGGTTACAATGGGTGGTATAATACTAGGGAGTTACAAATGATAATAAACATCCACATTGAACATATTTTGTAACACTCCCCTTGGATGGACATTATCTAAAATAGATTTAATGCGCATATATGTTGTCTCATTAAAAACCTTTCTAGGAAAATCCCTGTGGAAAAAACCATTGATAAGGAAAAAAGAGTGCAGCGCACAATTACTCCCCCTCATTATTATATCACCGAAGATCTTTGGGATGATGCAATCCAATACGATAAACTAAGTTTATAAATGTTGGGGTCGGAAGAGCTTTAGTGAATAAGTCTGCTAAATTCTCACTTGAACGAATCTGCAATACATTTATATCTCTATTCTTCTGAAGATCATAAGTGAAGAAAAATTTAGGTAATATGTGCTTTTTTCCATCACCTTTGATGTATCCTTCCTTAAGTTAAGCAATGCAAGCTGCATTATCCTCATATAGAGTTGTCGGTGCCTCTTTTCCAGATGATAAACAACAAACTTCTTTTATATGTTGAATTACCGACCTTTACCATACACATTCACAACTAGCCTTATGAATTGCTAAAATCTCATAATGATGGGAAGAAGAACCTGCAATGGTTTGTTTCATGGAACGCCAAGAAATGGAAGTACCACTATATGTTTGAACACATATCAAGTTTGTGATCGACCATTATGAGTATTAGATAAATAACTTGCATCTGCAAAACCAATCAAATTTTCTTTGGACAACTTTGGGAAAAATAAACCCATATCCTTCGTACCTTGAAGATAACGAAGTAAATGTTTAATCCCATTCCAATGCCTTCGATTTGGGCATGAACTAAACCTTGCTAATAAATTAACCGAAAATGATATGTCGGGTCGTGTATGACTTGCAAGGTACATTAGTGCTCCAATTGCACTAAGATATGGTACTTCATGACCAAGAATTTCTTCATCATTTTCCAGAGGTCAGAACAGATCTTTCTCTACATTAAGTGATCTTACAACCATAGGGCTGCTCAATGGATGTGCTGTATCCATAGAAAATCTTTTAATAACTTTTTCTATGTATGTTGATTGATGCTCAAGGATTCCATTCTCTAGGTGCTCTATTTGTAACCCCAAGCAAAATTTTGTCTTTCCAAGATCTTTCACTTCGAACTCTTTCTTTAAATAATTAACAGTCACTGAAATCTCTTTAGGAGTTCCAATTATATTTAAATTATCAACATACACTGCAATTATAACAAATCCTAATCCAAATTTCTTTATAAAAATACATGGGCTAATAGGATCATTCTTATAACGTTCTTTTAAAAAATACTCACTTAGTCGGTTATACCACATAGGCCCAGATTATTTTAATCCATAAAGGGATTTGTTCAATTTAATGCAGAAATGTTCTCGAGAACTAGATTTTGTTGCTTTTGGCAACTTGAATCCTTCTGGGAGCTTCATGTAAATGTCATTATCTAGTGGGCCATATAAATAAGCGGTGACTACATCCACCAAACGTAAGTCAAGTCCTTCTCTTATTGCCAGACTAATAAACAAAATCTAAAATTCGTTGCATCCAACACATGAGAATATGTCTCCTCATAATCAATACTAGGTCGTTGTGAGAATCCTTAATTTGTGCAACTAATCGTGCCTTATATCTTACAACTTCACCCTTTTTATTTCTCTCTTGCACAAAGACCCATTTATATCCCACTAGTTTTACACCTTCAGGTGTACGGACTACAGGTCCGAATACTTCTCTTTTTCTAAGAGATTTTAATTCTGCTTCAATTGCTTCTTTCAATTTTGGCCAATCATTTCTTTGTCTACATTCTTCAATAGATTTTGGTTCATGATCCTCATGATCATCCATAACATCTAATGCTACATTGCATGCAAAAACATTATCGATGTCGATTTGATTTCGGTTCCATGTAATTCCAGACATGATATAATTTGTTGAAATTTCTTCATTATCAGGTACCTGGATTTCTTTTTGTATCATTTCTAAATTCTCTTATGGAGATCCTTCGAAAATTGTTTCTTCAATTTGACCATCATCAATCAATGCTCCTTTTCTTTTCGAGGATTCTTATCTTTGGAACCTATTGGTCTTCCACGTTTCTGACGTGGTTTAGACTCATTAGCAAATTTATTTTGTCCTTCCGGAAGATCTATTTTAAATGGAGAATTTATAGCTATAATATGTGACTTGGTCACTCTTTTAGGGTCAGCAAACGAGTCTGGTAATTGATTCGCTAAACTTTGTAAATGAATTGTCTTTTAAACTTCCAGTTCACATTGTTTAGTTCAAGGATCAAGATACGATAATGATAATTTATTCCATTTAATTTCCTTTTCCAGATCTCTTTTTTCTCCTCCTAATGTTGGGAAAAGTGACTCGTAAAATGACTATCTGCAAAACGAGTCGTAAATAAATCCCCTGTTGTAGGCTCAAGATATTTAATTATTGACGGGGATTCAAACCAAACATATATTCTCAATCTCCTTTGAGATCCCATCTTAGAACGCTGTGGTGGAGCTATTGGAACATAAACCGCACATCCAAAAATTCTTAGATGGGAAATATTTTATTCCTGACCATAAACCAATTGTAATGGGGAGAACTTGTGATAACTTGTTGGCCTGATGCGAATTAGTGCTGCTACATGTAATATAGCATGTCCCCAAGCAGGAATTTGGAGATTGGATTTCATAAGCAA